TTTGTGAGATTTTAAGTGGTCAAAATGTGGATGAACCCAGTTTGCTCTGAGAGCATGACATGAGTAGAAAACGTGCGAGTCTCAAGCCACAGGCATACAGTCCCCAGTATCTCTGGCGGGAGAGGAGAGCATGAGGAATGTGCCACTACACAGGGAGGACGACAACTAGAGACGTAACAATACACCTTGTCCTCGGTATCTCACTGGTCCTTGTTGATAAATAGGGGAATTACAGACACTGATACAGTTGATAAATATGTCAGACACTGTTATTGTAGATAAATATGTCAGACACTGTTATTGTAGATAAATATGTCAGACACTGTCATTGTAGATAAATATGGCAGACACTGTTATTGTAGATAAATATGGAAGACACTGTTATTGTAGATAAATATGGGGGACACCGTTATTGTAGATAAATATGGCAGACACTGTTATTGTAGATAAATATGGCAGACACTGTTATTGTAGATAAATATGTCAGACACTGTCATTGTAGATAAATATGGAAGACACTGTTATTGTAGATAAATATGTCAGACACTGTTATTGTAGATAAAATATGTCGTTATTGTAGAAATACTGTTATTGTAGATAAATATGTCAGACACTGTTATTGTAGATAAATATGGGGACACCGTTATTGTAGATAAATATGTCAGACACTGTCATTGTAGATAAATATGGAAGACACTGTTATTGTAGATAAATATGTCAGACACTGTTATTGTAGATAAATATGGCAGACACCGTTATTGTAGATAAATATGTCAGACACTGTTATTGTAGATAAATATGTCAGACACTGTTATTGTAGATAAATATGTCAGACACTGTTATTGTAGATAAATATAGCAGACACTGTTATTGTTGATAAATATAGCAGACACTGTTATTGTAGATAAATATGGCAGACACTGTTATTGTAGATAAATATGGAAGATACTGTTATTGTAGATAAATATGGCAGACAATGTTATTGTAGATAAATATGTCAGACACTGTTATTGTAGATAAATATGGCAGACACTGTTATTGTAGATAAATATGTCAGACACTGTTATTGTAGATAAATATGGAAGACACTGTTATTGTTGATAAATATGGAAGACATTGTTATAGTAGATAAATATGGCAGACACTGTTATTGTAGATAAATATGGAAGATACTTTTTTGTAGATAAATATTGAGGGTACTGTTATTGTAGATAAATATGGAAGACACTGTTATTGTAGATAAATGTGGCAGACACTGTTATTGTAGATAAATATGGCAGACACTGTTATTGTAGATAAATATGGAAGACACTGTTATTGTAGATAAATATGTCAGACACTGTTATTGTAGATAAATATGGCAGACACTGTTATTGTAGATAAATGTGGAAGACACTGTTATTGTAGATAAATATGGAGGGTACTGTTATTGTAGATAAATATGGAAGACACTGTTATTTGAGATAAAAATGGAAGACACTGTTATTGTAGATAAATATGGAAGACACTGCTATTGTAGATAAATATGTCAGACAGTGTTATTGTAGATAAATATGGCTGACAGTGTTATTGTAGATAAATATGGCAGACACTGTTATTGTAGATACATATGTCAGACACTGTTATTGTAGATAGATATGGAAGATACTTTTTTTGTAGATAAATATGGTAGACACTGTAATTGTAGATAAATATGGCAGACACTGTTATTGTAGATAAATATGGCAGACACTGTTATTGTAGATAAATATGGCAGACACTGTTATTGTAGATAGATATGGAAGATACTTTTTTTGTAGATAAATATGTCAGACACTGTTATTGTAGATAAATATGGCAGACACTGTTATTGTAGATAAATATGGAAGACACTGTTATTGTAGATAGATATGGAAGATATACTTTTGTAGATAAATATGGTAGACACTGTAATTGTAGATAAATAAGTCAGACACTGTTATTGTGGATAAATATGGCAGACACTGCTATTGTAGATAAATATGTCAGACAGTGTTATTGTTGATAAATATGGAAGACAGTGTTATTGTAGATAAATATGGCAGACACCGTTATTGTAGATACATATGTCAGACACTGTTATTGTAGATAGATATGGCAGACACTGTTATTGTAGATAGATATGGAAGATACTTTTTTTGTAGATAAATATGTCAGAGACTGTTATTGTACATAAATATGTCAGACACTGTTATTGTAGATGAATATGGCAGACACTGTTATTGTAGATAGATATGGAATACACTTTTTTTGTAGATAAATATGGAAGACACTGCTATTGTAGATAAATATGGCAGACACTGTTATTGTAGATCAATATGGAAGACACTGTTATTGTAGATAAATATGGCAGACAGTGTTATTGTTTATAAATATGGAAGACACTGTTATTGTAGATACATATGGCAGACACTATTATTGTAGATAAATATGTCAGACACTGTTATTGTAGATAAATATGGTAGACACTGTTATTGTAGATAAATATGAAAGACACTGTTATTGTAGATGAATATGGAAGATACTGTTATTGTAGATAAATATGGTAGACACTATTATTGTAGATAAATATGGTAGACACTATTATTGTAGATAAATATGTCAGACACTGTTATTGTAGATAAATATGGTAGACACTGTTATTGCTAATAAATTTGGCAGACACTGTTATTGTTAATAAATTTGGAAGACACTGTTATTGTTAATAAATATGGAAGATACTGTTATTGTAGATAAATATGGCAGACACTGCTATTGTTAATAAATATGGCAGACACTGTTATTGTTAATAAATATGGAAGATACTGTTGTTGTAGATAAATATGTCAGACACTGTTATTGTAGATAAATATGGAAGACACTGTTATTGTTAATAAATATGGCAGACACTGTTATTGTTAATAAATATGGAAGATACTGTTATTGTAGATAAATATGTCAGACACTGTTATTGTAGATAAATATGGTAGACACTGTTATTGTAGATAAATATGGCAGACACTGTTATTGTTAATAAATATGGAAGATACTGATATTGTAGATAAATATGTCAGACACTGTTATTGTAGATAAATATTGCAGACACTGTTATTGTAGATAAATATGGCAGACACTGTTATTGTAGATAAATATAGCAGACACTGTTATTGTTGATAAATATAGCAGACACTGTTATTGTAGATAAATATGGCAGACACTGTTATTGTAGATAAATATGGCAGACACTGTTATTGTAGATAAATATAGCAGACACTGTTATTGTTGATAAATATGGTTGACACTGTTATTGTTAATAAATATGGTAGACACTGTTATTGTAGATAAATATGTCAGACACTGTTATTGTAGATTAATGTGGCAGACACTGTTATTGTTGATAAATATAGCAGACACTGTTATTGTAGATAAATATGGCAGACACTGTTATTGTAGATAAATATAGCAGACACTGTTATTGTTGATAAATATAGCAGACACTGTTATTGTAGATAAATATGGCAGACACTGTTATTGTAGATAAATATGGCAGACACTGTTATTGTAGATAAATATAGCAGACACTGTTATTGTTGATAAATATAGCAGACACTGTTATTGTAGATAAATATGGCAGACACTGTTATTGTAGATAAATATGGAAGATACTGTTATTGTAGATAAATATGGCAGACAATGTTATTGTAGATAAATATGTCTGACACTGTTATTGTAGATAAATATGGCAGACACTGTTATTGTAGATAAATGTGGCAGACACTGTTATTGTAGATAAATATTGCAGACACTGTTGAGGTAGTCACTGACCGCTCTTAATGAATAGTGCCAGTGAACAATGAAGGGGTTTATTTTCGGAATGGTCACAACATGATCACGTAATCAAAGGATTGCAAACCCGATAGAGAACAAATAATATGTACTTGGTTGTTACAGTCGGCGTCTATTTCCCGTGACCTGCAGTTTCGGAAGATCGAAGATCCACAAGCTGTACCTTACCGGGTAGTCTGACATGGACAACTCAACGTCCACCAGCTGCTGTACCTTACCGGGTAGTCTGACATGGATAACTCACGTCCGCATGAGTGCGGAATAACTCATCCCTGAACAAAAAATTCTTGCTCGTCTTGTTCAGGGTGACTGGCACATAAACACATCATGGTCATGATAATTAGCATTTGGAATTAAGATTTAACACACAAAGAATCGGTCGCTAAGGGACACGATTAACACTGAGTTTAATCCATGAATTTATGCGTCTGCAGACGAAGTTCTCAAACAATATCCCCCCACGGACCACCCCTCGACAAGCCAAAGATCCAGTCTTGCAGTCAACCGAAATGAAATCCGCATTTGTATAATCACGACGAAATAGACAGTTGAAAGCTTAGCTTCCAACTTAACCACACTCTACCATGATTTAGTCTTAGCAATAAATTATGGTCAAATGATTGAGATATGACTTTTGTCGAAACATATCACTGATGATCAATGTCTTACACTACTGGTTTCATGCATGAGGACCACGTGCGACTGTAACTGTTTATTGCCTCTTTCATAAGTGGATGGAGCGACCCCCTTTTGGGAGGGGAGGAACGTCCAATATCAAACAAATGAAATACCCAACAAATGTGCGTTTTTACTTTTGAAGTAGTATGGTAGGATAATTGTGGTGTTTTACATCTTTACTGTATATATATTTGAACATCTTACTCGTAAGTTAGGTAAACAAATTCCCCTTTAATGTATAACCTGACATACCCACGTGTGGACTGTCCCAGTACTATAAGTTCACCTGATGTCCTTCGACGGAGAAGCAAATACAAGATTGATTCCACAAAGGTAAGTATATTTGTGTTTAGGGACAACATTTTCACCACGTCTTAAAATTGAACTCCGAGGCCAAGCATTAGGAGTTTATACCAAATAAGTGTTAAACAAATTATTGCAATCAAACTTTTATTCTGTATCCAGGAACATCTCTAAGTATGGATGACACAAGGCAAGCGGAGAAGTCCCACAAGAGTCCCAAACATGAGATGGATATAGTTGATGTGGAAAAGGACACTGAGGTGGACGACCCCTGGGCCCTTCCTGACACCATAGACACAGGCAAACAATGGAACGGTAAGTCAGGCCCTTCTTGACACCATAGACACAGGCAAACAATGGAACGATAAGTCAGGCCCTTCCTGACATCATAGACACAGGCAAACAATGGAACGGTAAGTCAGCCCCTTCCTGACATCATAGACACTGGCAAACAATGGAAGGGTAAGTCAGGCCCTTCCTGACATCATAGACACAGGCAAACAATGGAACGGTAAGTCAGCCCCTTCCTGACATCATAGACACAGGCAAACAATGGAACGGTAAGTCAGCCCCTTCCTGACACCATAGACACAGGCAAACAATGGAAGGGTAAGTCAGGCCCTTCCTGACACCATAGACACAGGCAAACAATGGAAGGGTAAATCAGGCCCTTCCTGACATCATAGACACAGGCAAACAATGGAACGGTAAGTCAGGCCCTTCCTGACATCATAGACACAGGCAAACAATGGAAGGGTAAGTCAGGCCCTTCCTGACACCATAGACACAGGCAAACAATGGAAGGGTAAGTCAGGCCCTTCCTGACATCATAGACACAGGCAAACAATGGAAGGGTAAGTCAAGCCCTTCCTGACACCATAGACACTGGTAAACAATGGAACGGTAAGTCAGGCCCTTCCTGACACCATAGACACAGGCAAACAATGGAAGGGTAAGTCAAGCCCTTCCTGACATCATAGACACAGGCAAACAATGGAAGGGTAAGTCAAGCCCTTCCTGACATCATAGACACAGGCAAACAATGGAAGGGTAAGTCAGGCCCTTCCTGACATCATAGACACAAGCAAACAATGGAACAGTAAGTCAGGCCCTTCCTGACATCATAGACACAGGCAAACAATGGAACGGTAAGTCAGGCCCTTCCTGACACCATAGACACAGGCAAACAATGGAAGGGTAAGTCAGGCCCTTCCTGACATCACAGACACAGGCAAACAATGGACGGGTAAGTCAGGCCCTTCCTGACACCATAGACACAGGCAAACAATGGAAGTCAGGCCCTTCCTGACATCATAGACACAGGCAAACAATGGAAGGGTAAGTCAAGCCCTTCCTGACATCATAGACACAGGCAAACAATGGAAGGGTAAGTCAGGCCCTTCCTGACATCATAGACACAGGCAAACAATGGAAGGGTAAGTCAGGCCCTTCCTGACACCATAGACACAGGCAAACAATGGACGGGTAAGTCAGGCCCTTCCTGACACCATAGACACAGGCAAACAATGGAAGGGTAAGTCAGGCCCTTCCTGACATCATAGACACAGGCAAACAATGGACGGGTAAGTCAGGCCCTTCCTGACACCATAGACACAGGCAAACAATGGAAGGGTAAGTCAGGCCCTTCCTGACATCATAGACACAGGCAAACAATGGAAGGGTAAGTCAAGCCCTTCCTGACATCATAGACACAGGCAAACAATGGAAGGGTAAGTCAAGCCCTTCCTGACACCATAGACACAGGCAAACAATGGAAGGGTAAGTCAGGCCCTTCCTGACATCATAGACACAGGCAAACAATGGAAGGGTAAGTCAAGCCCTTCCTGACATCATAGACACAGGCAAACAATGGAAGGGTAAGTCAGGCCCTTCCTGACATCATAGACACAGGCAAACAATGGAAGGGTAAGTCGGGCCCTTCCTGACACCATAGACACAGGCAAACAATGGAACGGTAAGTCAGGCCCTTCCTGACATCATAGACACAGGCAAACAATGGAAGGGTAAGTCAAGCCCTTCCTGACACCATAGACACTGGTAAACAATGGAACGGTAAGTCAGGCCCTTCCTGACATCATAGACACAGGCAAACAATGGAAGGGTAAGTCAGGCCCTTCTTGACATCATAGACACTGGTAAACAATGGAACGGTAAGTCAGACCCCTCCTGACATCATAGACACAGGCAAACAATGGAAGGGTAAGTCAGGCCCTTCCTGACATCATAGACACAGGCAAACAATGGAACAAGATGTCTCGTACGTTTCTGCAATCATAGGTTGAGCTGAATATCTCCAGTACGTTTCAAGATACCATGGTTTCTGTTTTCACGGTAGAAATGACGGGCCAGGAGAAGCTGAAGCGAGTTGTTATCAACATCCTGAAAGTGGTGCTGCTACTCGGGCTCCTCTACATGTTCATCTGCTCCCTGGATTTCCTCAGCTCTGCATTCCGACTTCTCGGAGGTGAGCACTGCTTAGGGATGTGCAAATTCTTTAATGTTAAATAGCTGCACGGTAAGGGGTGAGTACATGCACTCTTTCGGGTGAATATCTACACTGTGTCAGGTGAGTACATGGTACTTTATGTCGTGAGTACCTGTACTGTATGGGGTTAGCACTTGTACTGTATGGGGTGAGCACTTGTACTGTATGGGGTGAGCACTTGTACTGTATGGGGTGAGCACTTGTACTGTATGGGGTGAGCACCTGTACTGTATGGGGTTAGCACCTGTACTGTATGGGGTGAGCACTTGTACTGTATGGGGTGAGCACTTGTACTGTATGGGGTGAGCACTTGTACTGTATGGGGTGAGCACCTGTACTGTATGGGGTGAGCACTTGTACTGTATGGGGTGAGCACTTGTACTGTATGGGGTTAGCACTTGTATTGTATGGGGTGAGCACCTGTACTGTATGGGGTGAGCACCTGTACTGTATGGGGTTAGCACTTGTACTGTATGGGGTCAGCACCTGTACTGTATGGGGTGAGCACTTGTACTGTATGGGGTGAGCACTTGTACTGTATGGGGTGAGCACTTGTACTGTATGGGGTGAGCACTTGTACTGTATGGGGTGAGCACCTGTACTGTATGGGGTTAGCACCTGTACTGTATGGGGTGAGCACTTGTACTGTATGGGGTGAGCACTTGTACTGTATGGGGTGAGCACTTGTACTGTATGGGGTTAGCACCTGTTCTGTATTGGGTTAGCACTTGTACTGTATGGGGTGAGCACCTGTACTGTATGGGGTTAGCACTTGTACTGTATGGGGAGCACCTGTACTGTATGGGGTTAGCACTTGTACTGTATGGGGTTAGCACTTGTACTGTATGGGGTGAGCACCTGTACTGTATGGGGTTAGCACTTGTACTGTATGGGGTGAGCACCTGTACTGTATGGGGTTAGCACTTGTACTGTATTGGGTGAGCACCTGTACTGTATGGGGTTAGCACCTGTACTGTATGGGGTTAGCACCTGTACTGTATGGGGTTAGCACCTGTACTGTATGGGGTTAGCACCTGTTCTGTATGGGGTTAGCACCTGTACTGTATGGGGTTAGCACCTGTACTGTATGGGGTTAGCACCTGTTCTGTATTGGGTTAGCACTTGTACTGTATGGGGTGGGGTTAGTTAGCACCTGTACTGTATGGGGTTAGCACCTGTTCTGTATTGGGTTAGCACTTGTACTGTATGCGGTTAGCACCTGTACTGTATGGGGTGAGCACCTGTTCTGTATTGGGTTAGCACTTGTACTGTATGGGGTTAGCACCTGTACTGTATGGGGTTAGCACCTGTTCTGTATTGGGTTAGCACTTGTACTGTATGCGGTTAGCACCTGTACTGTATGGGGTGAGCACCTGTTCTGTATTGGGTTAGCACTTGTACTGTATGGGGTTAGCACCTGTACTGTATGGGGTTAGCACCTGTTCTGTATTGGGTTAGCACTTGTACTGTATGGGGTGAGCACCTGTACTGTATGGGGTTAGCACCTGTACTGTGTATGTGGCAGGCGTATATCCACAGAGTTATACAGTCCACTGGTCAGGACGGGTGTTGATTATGACCTTTCGTTTGACATAACAGTTAAGCCACTGTATTTCACCTAAGTGAAAGTCAATTTGATGTCTGTCAAAAGCGGAGTTTTACTCAGCTGATTCCCTCTACACAAAACCTGTACTGTGGTGGCCTGTTGGCGAACTATACTGGCATGTTTCTTCTGAAACCGATAAATCACTACACATGGACATTTACTCACTTGAAGTTAGTAACAACAAAACTGATTTTTCAATACAACGTTTGTAAAGTTGAGTCGTGGCTAGATTTATGGCTACTTTGTGGACTGATAGATCAGGGCCTACACACTGTGTCACTTGTGGGTATCATATGGGCAGCCAGTTGTCCCTCCATTGGACTGGAATGACAGCCGCTCAACGAGGGTTGTAATTTCTCAACTTTACAGCGACTCTTTAGGCCCGAACTGACTCGTACATCAAACAGGAACTAAACGTTCAGCTGTTTTAAAGCGTCACTCGCGAATATTCGTCAGCTCAAAGCTTTGTGTTTTTTATTGAGGTTGATATGAGTCTGCACTGTCTGAACGAACGTTTTATTCCAAAGGCTGATGACCTTGTAACTTTGAAATTTAAATCTCAAGAATCACATGTATTTACTTTCATATCATTACTCACTGTTAATTCCAATTGCCTTTTACATTGACTGTGCATCACTGTGTAACCCTTAGATTAGCGAAGTTTGGCCTAAGGGCACCAAATCCACCTACAATGTGTTGACCTAGCACATAGTGAATCTTGTGTATATCTACCCATTAAAATATACCGAAAACTATCAAGTACGATTTGTCACTTCCCTCCGAGCACTGTATACGCCAACCCCTTGGATTTAGGAATATGTACATAATCTAGTCATCGTCACGTATGTCTCCAACGTATTGTACCAAACGCGTAGAACACGTTGCACTATTGTAAGACAATGTCTCGATGAATTATTTGTGTGATTATTACGGTGATTGTCCAGAACGTTAGTCTTCAGGTCTTCTTTGCTAAGTGATATTACGAGAGAGAAAGGGAAGGTATTGGAGTCCACCTGTCTCACTAAGGTGAAGATCACTTGACCACCGTCCGCCATGTCGCCAAGTGTGTCAGATAACAAAGGCTTTGACTTTTATTGCTCCTCCAATGTGCGTCGTTTTGGAAGGGTGACAGAATAATATCTCACTGAGTTATGACACATACGCTGTTGGCTGCGCGCACGTGCACGCACGGACACTCATGGCAAGAGTGTGGGGAAGACTCCTTCCATCTACCAGTGACTGTTGAGTAACGTCATTCACTGGAGCCCTGTGTTAAACGATGGCCCTATTTTTGTACGGTCGTCATAACCATGTGTTGTACGTTGATGTGAAATATGTCCTTATCGTGTTTCGTCCTCTGCCGTGTCTCAGGTAAAGCTGCGGGAGAGGCGCTCAGCGATGTGGAGCTCCTGTCCAACCCAGTGGCCGGGTTGATGGTCGGCGTCCTGGCAACCGTGCTAGTGCAGAGTTCTTCCACATCCACGTCCATCATCGTCTCCATGGTGTCTGCCGACAGTCAGTAGCACTTCCAGTAACCACCTTCTGCACGACCTATTATGTTTCCCTCATGTCTGCCGAGTCAGTAGCACTTCCAGTAACCACCTTCTGCACGACCTATTATGTTTCCCTCATGTCTGCCGACAGTCAGTAGCACTTCCAGTAACCACCTTCTGCACGACCTATTATGTTTCCCTCATGTCTGCCGAGTCAGTAGCACTTCCAGTAACCACCTTCTGCACGACCTATTATGTTTCCCTCATGTCTGCCGAGTCAGTAGCACTTCCAGTAACCACCTTCTGCACGACCTATTATGTTTCCTCATGTCTGCCGAGTCAGTAGCACTTCCAGTAACCACCTTCTGCACGACCTATTATGTTTCCCTCATGTCTGCCGAGTCAGTAGCACTTCCAGTAACCACCTTCTGCACGACCTATTATGTTTCCCTCATGTCTGCCGAGTCAGTAGCACTTCCAGTAACCACCTTCTGCACGACCTATTATGTTTCCCTCATGTCTGCCGAGTCAGTAGCACTTCCAGTAACCACCTTCTGCACGACCTATTATGTTTCCCTCATGTCTGCCGAGTCAGTAGCACTTCCAGTAACCACCTTCTGCACGACCTATTATGTTTCCCTCATGTCTGCCGAGTCAGTAGCACTTCCAGTAACCACCTTCTGCACGACCTATTATGTTTCCCTCATGTCTGCCGAGTCAGTAGCACTTCCAGTAACCACCTTCTGCACGACCTATTATGTTTCCCTCATGTCTGCCGAGTCAGTAGCACTTCCAGTAACCACCTTCTGCACGACCTATTATGTTTCCCTCATGTCTGCCGAGTCAGTAGCACTTCCAGTAACCACCTTCTGCACGACCTATTATGTTTCCCTCATGTCTGCCGAGTCAGTAGCACTTCCAGTAACCACCTTCTGCACGACCTATTATGTCAGTAACCTCATGTCTGCCGCCGAGTCAGTAGCACTTCCAGTAACCACCTTCTGCACGACCTATTATGTTTGCCCTCATGTCTGCCGAGTCAGTAGCGCTTCCAGTAACCACCTTCTGCACGACCTATTATGTTTCCCTCATGTCTGCCGAGTCAGTAGCACTTCCAGTAACCACCTTCTGCACGACCTATTATGTTTTCCCTCATGTCTGCCGAGTCAGTAGCACTTCCAGTAACCACCTTCTGCACGACCTATTATGTTTCCCTCATGTCTGCCGAGTCAGTAGCACTTCCAGTAACCACCTTCTGCACGACCTATTATGTTTCCCTCATGTCTGCCGAGTCAGTAGCACTTCCAGTAACCACCTTCTGCACGACCTACCACCTTTTCCCTCATGTCTGCCGAGTCAGTAGCACTTCCAGTAACCACCTTCTGCACGACCTATTATGTTTCCCTCATGTCTGCCGAGTCAGTAGCACTTCCAGTAACCACCTTCTGCACGACCTATTATGTTTCCCTCATGTCTGCCGAGTCAGTAGCACTTCCAGTAACCACCTTCTGCACGACCTATTATGTTTCCCTCATGTCTGCCGAGTCAGTAGCACTTCCAGTAACCACCTTCTGCACGACCTATTATGTTTCCCTCATGTCTGCCGAGTCAGTAGCACTTCCAGTAACCACCTTCTGCACGACCTATTATGTTTCCCTCATGTCTGCCGAGTCAGTAGCACTTCCAGTAACCACCTTCTGCACGACCTATTATGTTTCCCTCATGTCTGCCGAGTCAGTAGCACTTCCAGTAACCACCTTCTGCACGACCTATTATGTTTCCCTCATGTCTGCCGAGTCAGTAGCACTTCCAGTAACCGCCTTCTGCACGACCTATTATGTTTCCCTCATGTCTGCCGAGTCAGTAGCACTTCCAGTAACCACCTTCTGCACGACCTATTATGTTTCCCTCATGTCTGCCGAGTCAGTAGCACTTCCAGTAACCACCTTCTGCACGACCTATTATGTTTCCCTCATGTCTGCCGAGTCAGTAGCACTTCCAGTAACCACCTTCTGCACGACCTGTTGTATTTCTACTGTTCGTAGGTTCTAACTGATCATGATACTGATGCCCATAGTCTTTGGTTTTACCAAGTGAAAGACGTCTACAACAGACGCCAAATTGGGAGACCCTCTGTCACGCTCTGATAACTGAAATACTGTGCATTGCTGAACCCCATCCGTTGTCTCTTCCAGTGCTTCCTACTCGGCTGGCGATCCCCATCATCATGGGCACGAACATCGGGACGACTATTACCAACGTGCTCGTCTCCCTGGGGCAGATCGGTGATAGAGATAGATTCAGGCGCGCTTTTGGAGGCGCAACTCTGCATGACATGTTCAACTGGTTGACTGTGTTGGTGCTGCTACCGATAGAGGTCGCCAGTGGTTATTTGTACCGCCTGTCTGGATTAATGGTGCAGAACATCAACGCTGATCCGAATGTGGAAAATCCGGATCTGCTTAAAGCCGTCACCAAACCGCTGACTGGGAAAATTATAGAGGTAAGGGTATGCTGGTTGCGCATAGGCTCAACCTGCTGAGAGTGTTTCTTGGACTGACCGACCTTTAGGTACGAATGTTTTTTCAAGGCAGACCATGCTTGTGTATACCATATGTTCCCCTCAATCTATGGGGAAGCAATGTTTTTATCCTCAGAAGGAACTGATGTTTTCTTCACGGTTCTGCGACATAATGATAACAGCTGTTGTATGGCGACAAATGATGTGTGAAAAACAACGTGTAAGTCAGGCTAAAGGAACCCGTGTCTTGTTTTCCTCAGTTGGACAACGATGTGATTCGGGCCATCGCCAGGGGAGATAACACGACACACACCCTCATCAAGTTCTGCTGTGAGAAAGGTAAGCTCTCAGTGTCCTAAATACACAATAATCTCATCGAATGTGTATATATAGTGGATTAAACAGTATGGTCACTGATCATTACGGAATACATGTGTGTAAACTGGCTTAAAGTGCATGCTCACTGATCACTACGGGTGACATGTGTAAAGTATGTTAACATACATGGTCACTGATCACTACGGGTGACATGTGTAAAGTATGTTAACATACATGGTCACTGATCACTACGGGTGACATGTGTAAAGTATGTTAACATACATGGTCACTGATCACTACGGGTGACATGTGTAAAGTATGTTAACATACATGGTCACTGATCACTACGGGTGACATGTATAAAGTATGTTAACATACATGGTCACTGATCACTACCGATAACATATATGTAAGATGGATGTCACTGATCACTGTTCTCACTGTTCACATATTACATCAGCAACTATTATCATTTCAGGTGACAATTCAACGTGTGCAAAAGAATGTAAGTATGCACAAACATATGTTTGGGGAAAATTTGCTTAATGGGATAGGGGTGAGTTAACACATGTGATTCTGGATCAGTTGCAGACAGATTTCACAGTATAAATGATCAAATGTCTGTTAACATGTATAGCTTATAGAAGGTTCAATAAGTGAAGGCGTCTGTTCCGAGTTGGGCGATGTTTTCAATATCTGCTGTGGACATCACGAGTCCCCAAAACTGCTGTAGATGCGACAGGTGACCTGACGTCTCTGGGGCCGGGTGGCAGTCAGGTACGCGTCGGCCGAGATCATCCCACAAATGCTCGATGGGGTTGACGACGATTTGGAAGGCCATGGAAGCACTGTAATGTTCTCATTCTGAAGATACTGAATAGTGGCATGTGCTGTGTGAGGCTTGGTATGATCTTGCTGGAGCAACTCCCTCTGGCGTTCAATGATCGGAACAGTGTGAATCCTTAAGATTACCGAAAACAGTAAAATTGCCCTGAAGGCGCACAAAGCTAGATTTCTGCGTGTGGGATATGGCTCCCCACACCATGACACTCTCGTTCAAAAAGTTCATTTCGTCGTCGTCAGACACATATTCTTCCGTCACGGTACTGAAGCAGAAAGCGTGATTTGTCAATGAACTATACACGTCGCCAGTTGTGTAGAATCTTGAACGTTATTGCACCACTCAACCCGTCGACGTCGATGTAGTCGTCGCAGCACAGGACCAAAATTGGGTCTTCTGGCTCGAAGTCCATCTTCTCGTAAACGATTACGAATGGGTTGCGCTTACACTCTCCTCATATTAGACACTGCACTTGGAGTTGCGGTTGATGTGACAGTTCGATTCAACAAATGAAGTAGCGGATGTACCTATCCCGCATTGCATCTTGCGTAGAAATGGTTTGTTGATATCGGTCCAATAAACGACTGAATGTACTCTGGTGAACACGGAGGTTCACGTGAACGTGCAACGGCAACATTGAGACCCCCCAGCCTCCAGACGTCCAATGGCATTGGTCGATTTACAGCAGTGAGTCGCGGCATAACAATATGCTTCCATTTAGCTAAAAATGTCATTGACCATCTAAAGAGAAAAGGGCCTTATATATGCAATGTGACTGCTCACGATTCCTCAGAGCTGCACGTGCAGAACCACTTATTCTCCAATACATTTTCATGCAAGTTGACAGTTTGGAACATAAAGGTGCACTAAAGTTTCCGAAGATGTGTTTTTGCGCTGTGCATTCGTTCTGTGTACACAAACCAGCATTAATGGCGATATTATAGCAATCAAGCACTAATTTTTGCAAAATATGTTTTTGGGGGGAGAGTATATGTGTATCTGTGTTTGGGGTGAGGGTTGTGGGTGTCAGCAAAATGTTACACTCGTAAGCTTGTAGTCTCGTACCAAGCCACCCAACACCAAACCTCTCTTGTAAAACATGTTACACTCGTAAGCTTGTAGTCTCGTACCAAGCCACCCAACACCAAACCTCTCTTGTAAAACATGTTACACTCGTAAGCTTGTAGTCTCGTACCAAGCCACCCAACACCAAACCTCTCTTGTAAAACATGTTACACTCGTAAGCTTGTAGTCTCGTACCAAGCCACCCAACACCAAACCTCTCTTGTAAAACATGTTACACTCGTAAGCTTGTAGTCTCGTACCAAGCCACCCAACACCAAACCTCTCTTGTAAAACATGTTACACTCGTAAGCTTGTAGTCTCGTACCAAGCCACCCAACACCAAACCTCTCTGTAATGTTGCAAATATATGATAGCCTAGCATCAAAATGTTAAACTTCTTTTCTCAATCTCATTGTCAGGTGAACACCTGTTCTTAGAAACCAGTCTCTCAGATACAGAGGTCGGCCTAATCCTGTTGGCGATGGCACTAGTTACGTTATGCACGTGCCTCGTGCTGATCGTGAAGATCCTGCAGTCACTGCTCAAGGGGGCGATCGCCAAGGTCATCAGGAAGATAGTGAATGCTGACTTACCTGGTATTCTACGTCCAATCACCGGTTACGTTGTCATGCTGGTCGGCGCTGGACTCACATTCCTGGTTCAGAGTAGTTCTATCTTCACTTCTACTCTTACCCCCCTCGTGGGAATGGGCGTTATTAAGGTGGACCGTGTATTTCCCCTTGTACTCGGAGCTAATATTGGTACCACCTTTACCAGTATCTTGGCAGCTTTGGCATCAGATAGCACAGGTTTCAGGAATTCCCTTCAAGTGTCGTTCTGTCATCTGCTGTTCAACATTAGTGGTATTTCGCTATGGTACGGGATCTGGCCTGCAAGACAAGTTCCCATCCGTATGGCAAAGAAACTGGGCTCCGTGACTGCCGATTATCGCTGGTTCCCGATTTTCTACATATTTTTTGTATTTCTTTTTAGCCCAATGGCTGTGTTTGGACTTTCGTTGGCCGGTTGGGAATACCTCGTTGGGTTTGGCGTCCCTGTCCTTATTCTGGTCATTTTCGTCATTACTATGAACCTCCTGCAGAGCAGCGATCGCATCAGACCACGACTTCCCCACCGTCTTCAGAGCTTTGAGAATATGGGTTTACCACTGTGTTTGCGCTCACTACAACCTTACGACAAAGCGGTCACGAAATTGCAGGTATTGTGTAGTTGCTGTAAATGCTGCAAACTAAAGACCAAGGAGGATGTTACTGAAGATAAGGCAGAGAGGGTCAATTATGATAACAAAGCTTTTGAGGGTGAAAGATTGTAACCAGTCTTTAACTTGGTGAGACTCACGTTACACCCATATTATTTAACAATTGCTGTTTACAATGACCTGATCTCAGTTCTTTCATCGATGTATACTATACGTCGAGTCCCTTATATGTAACGAGAAGATGACACTAATGTCTTGGGTAATTGTGCAAAAAATAATTTGCAGCTGGAATTCCACAGTGGATGTTATCGTGGCACTGTACACGTGCTACATGATGGGTTACACTAGAGAACACAACGTCCAATTCCTCATCATTGACCATTAATTTACAGTGCTTACGTCATGTGTCACCATGATTACGATACACAAGTATTCTGGGGATATAGGGTTTACATATGTAAGTACCTGCGAATACCAGAGACCTGTCTGTATATAGCATGCACCTGAACGTACAGTACGTCCACCCAGTAGAGAACAAACACTCAATAAAGTAGTTATGAAGATAGAAAGAAACAAATTAAAAGTTGAAAAGGGGGATAATTTGTGTGTCATGAGTCAGTTACAGTACCTGTAATTACTCATACTTCCTAAGGTCCCAAATTATTATTCTTTCTAATTTCGTGATTACTATAGTTTGAATAGAGGAGCAGTTGACCGTCCTGTCAACTTCACACAGACCTGTTAGTCGATTTTCTGATACAAGCTCAGAAGCAAGGCTGGTACTCCACCTACACTGTCCCCGCATGGCCCAACTATCTGACATCACAGGACGTGCACTATGTACAGTTGTATGTGGGTCCACGGACATATAATCAACGTCAACGTACAATGTATGAAATTTGGGCAGTGTGTGCACCAATGTAGATAGTCGCTCGTGAATATCTAATGTTGCCTACTTTAAACGACTGAAGCTCTCAGAAAAATTCGAAAGAACGTCGTTCTCCTGCGATGGGGAGAGTATTGTACGTGACAGCAATGGGCACTGTTCAAACAGGGTTTAATGACGAGAGTTTAATTGTCCACTGCTGCATCTAAATGTGTTCCTGTCGTCCCATCAGTCGTACTTCAGTTACATGGAGAAGTACTAACATCCTTATACCATCTTTGCTTTGAGACGATCGTAACGTCCACAACATGAACTGACGGCAGTTTTACGGCTGTTAACAATTTGTGGTTGGGGCCCTAGTAGAAACGAGAACCAGAAAGGTTTCATTCGGCCTTCAAGCAGAGAGGATGAAGTTTTGTTGATATTACAATTAACACCTTTATACTACTGATATACGATACATATACTATGTTTCATTATGTCTGTATTAAATGATAAAATACAAACCTACAATAAATGTATAAAATGAGATATTTATGTGTTCTGTTTTCTTGAGGCTTAACACGTGTGGAGTAAGATTAGTGAGTGAGTGAGTTTAGTTTAACGCCGTACTCAGCAATATTCCAGCTACATGGCGGTGGTCTGTAAATAATTGAGTCTGGACCAGACAATCCAGTGATCAACAGTATGAGCATCGATCTGCGCAATGGGGAACCGATGACATGTGACAGGAGTAAGATTACTTGTTGCGCCTCCACCATGGTTCCAAAAGCAACCATCCTAAAATGCTAAGACATCAATGATCGAGCATTTGTAGCAGAGCAGATCGTGGTGAGAAATATGTGCTGTTAGCTATACACCTCCTTAAACCCTCACAGGAGTCATAAGCCTTACAGGCTGGTCGAGCGGTCAAACAAGTCTAAGAGGCTGTACATAAAACCCAACTGTTCCAGGCTCAAAGGGTAGAACCGCATGGCTTGGGATGATGTGTCTGATATCTGCAATTCAAGTAAATATTCATCGTCGATTGTAAGCTGCAGCGACAAGGGACAATAATGGGAATACTAGGCATTATTGCTGATTGAAGGAAAGCCAGGTCTGGTGTTGTTGGCACTGGGCTTACTTAAAGACATATCAATCTTTTTAATGACAGTGTTGGTACAGAATGGGAAAGGTAGTGTCAGTTGCTGGCTCTTCGTAACCCACTTGCAGAGTCAACAGCTTGGTTTTGTGGTGAAGGAAAAGGCGCGCCAGGATGTGCCATAGTGGCAAGGTGCAGTGCTGTCTGTGTTCATTTTCTCACAGTCTGCAAGACTGAGAAAGAGATGCCGACAAACACAAAATGTTGATTTTGCAAACTTTCATTGGGGTACTGGAGCATGAGTTACGGGTCAGACGATTGTAAATGCATCAGCATGCAGCTCAACTCCATGATCGACGACCACATGTCGACCCTTACAAATAGTCATTTTTGCCAACAGACGTCTGTGGTGTACATAACGTCCACTTTGGGCAAATCATGGTGGGGCCAGTCATGTTTTCAGAGAGACCCCGATTCACTCTGCATTTTCTTGACAGGCGTGGTCGAGTCTGGTGATGCTGAAATGAACCTCAAGCCAATGTCATTCAGAGACATGCTTACAGATGTGGTGGTGGACTGTTAATGGTGAAGGGGTTAGTTTGCAGATTAGTACGTTTTCGTATGTAACCCCAGGTAGATAAAACCTTGTACAGTCTGTATGACACAGGGAGAGTGTGGGGACAGTTTGTAGCCTTAAGTGTTCGGTTAGGATAATGTTCACATCAAGTTTGTGGGATATGTCATTTGAAAAAGCACTGAGGATTCATGTCTTCTTGTATATTCACAATAGTGTGTGAATTTGGGTTAATGCTGCTTTGAAAAGAATTCCAGTTATATGACATTATGTCAGCTTAATGCAGGAGAAAAGCTTCAAGTGGTGCAGGTGCCAGATCTCTACCACTTTTGTTAAACCCAAGTGTATGGGTATAGTGTTGACCTGGAAACTCACTGGGACAACCATGACTTGAACTCACAATGTTGGATTTCTGGCACACCCAAGGGTTTCTACTTTACAGAGAATTGCGGGAGATCAGACGACTTGGCCATCTCTGCCCCAAGTAGAATAATAAGCTTATAATTATGCTAAGTATACCTGACTAATCTGAGACTAATCTGTCCAAAGGAAAGTATGTACTCAACTCAGTCAACAAGAAATAGAACAGAAGCCAAAATGGGAGTACTTTTCCTGTTTATTCTTTCAACACTGACCGCAGCAACACCTGACACTGAACAGTGCTGTTTCTTTGCAGGTATTCTGTTCACCAGTAGAGATCTCAAATGGCCAGCATAACAAACACATACAAAAATATATTTATATACCTCAGGTTTAATTGTGCTAGGTAGCATGAAACAGTTGAAGGCTTAATCAATACTGCAATGGCGAGAGAGAGGATGGAAGGGTAGGAGGTCAAAACTAATATCACTGTGTCCATCACATCAACAACATACCTGAACTCAGGCAAACAACAATTCTACTTTTCCAGAAAAATCTGGAATTTCTTCTTTTCACATTATCACTTTTAACCACTACACCCTAAAACGTCAGGAAAATTGCTACATTATCATTGCATAGCTATCAAGTGAATCATCTCTACTAACTCTCCATCAAATAAGAAAATAGAAATGACATGATAATATGACGTGTTTAAATTCAATACTGAATTTTTGAACATTTTTCTGCTTGCTCCCCAAAGGAAAGGTACTGTACTGGTATCTAGAAAACAATTAAGTATATCTGCTGTTAAACATGTGATGCTGATGAAAAGTAAGAGCTTGCAAACATCATTCACAATTCAATAGGCAGGCAGTCAGGTAATTGCATACATAACCTTGTACAAGTATGTACAGATAATGGGTTATGGTTGTGGCAGGGTAAAATTTCATATAAACTATTCCTTGATACTGTGTCATAATTATTATGAAGAAGATTTGATAAAATCATACGACAGTCTACATATAAAAATGATGATGGACAATGTGAAGTAAGAGAAACATATACCAAAGGGTCAACATGATCAAACAAATGTACACAGAACAATACGGAATTACCTCCTGCCATGAAATACATACATCATCTTGTTTTGAACAACAATATTTGACATGACAGCACCCCATATAATATAGCAGACTCTTGGACAAAGTACAAGAGGCCACAGTCAAGGGTTAATCAACTAGGCAGGCAGATGAATATTAACTCAAGGAATAACATATTTCACACATGTTAGAAGCAATGTTTGCCCATTTTTTAAATATTTGCAATGCAGTTAGTTGCAATAATTCTACCATGAATAAAGGTATACTGCAATTTTCTGCAACAGTATACAGCCTTTGCCAGTTAAGGCAACATAAAATCGATTACATATTTAAGAAATTGTTCATAAATTATGTCAACATCAATCAACTTCAAAGAAATGCCCATCAAACAATAAAATATATCTATGGAAGGTACTTGTCCTTGATCTAGTTGTTCACGGTCAGCATTATTCTAGCTATGATATAATTAAGTTATCAATTGTCCGCACTAATTATCCTTTTCCTATGCCAATAATCTTTCCTCATAGCACTGAAATGTCTATGTTCTCATAACAATTTCTGCTTATGTTTGACAACTAAATGATTAACTTATTCAAAAGTAATCTATACTTAATATACTTGCTTGATAGACTAACAAAACTGTTAAAATATGATCAAAAACATTTTCCCCACTTGAATGGCACTATTCCTTATCTGCCATGTCAAGCCTCATCTCGAAAGTGTAGGAGGAGACAACATACCGTGTTGATGTAGTGACTGCTGCACTCCTCCCACTCATTCCTACTGTGACCATGTAGCATTCAATCTTACTGTACGGCTTCCTAGTTATTCAACTTTGAATGCTCCTACAGGTCTTATGAAATGGCAAATAAAAAACAAGTTTTCAACGTGGCTCTGTAGCTCACCTGAATCACAAAGAAACAACAGAATTTTATGACGCTTCTACAGTGTGACCAAAATGAATAGTAATTGAAACTAAATGATGTAATAGGTAAGGTAAAAACAACGTGTTTGCAACATTGTCTCTAGCACCAAAGCAAAGGGACAATCAAGATTCCTTTAACAACCTTATTCTTCTTGCTAAAGTTACCATTCACACAAAGCGTTGGTATCCTCCTATTTGAAATTGTTTCACTATTTTCTTCTTCAAAACAAGGTGTGGGGTGGTGAACCTGCTGGAGTATCCTACTTAGAATCTTTACTCATGTTGCTAAACCATTTCTGTTTAAAGTCATATCAGAAAACCTTGTTCTCGCCAATGAAAACAAAAAATTAGATGGTGGAAAAAATTAGATGAATTCAGATACACACAAGTTACTCCTTACAAAGTCTCAGCTTCTGTGGCCTTGGAGTTTCATTGGATATGTAGAAAATTTACAAGTTCACTGCAGTCAGACAACATGCCACAAACATAACTTGAATTATCAAAACACTAGTCAATTTGGAGGAATGAAACGTGGAAGTTTGTTGTAGCACAATGTATGCACCCTGGCTGACTGTTCCATGCCCTTATCTCATCAACCATCCCCTCTCAAAGGTGCAGTATCAACATCCCATGCACAGTGTAACAATAATGTTTACAACAGTATTTATATAATAACATTGAACATCTACCAATGCCGTATCTGTATCAAACATGCGAGTCATAAGATTCTTTATCACGAAACAAAAAGCTGCAAACTGATCGCAGATTACAGCTGTACACTCAAGACCTATTTGGCACTACCATAACAGAACAGCTCACATCATTCACAGATATGCATTTAAGATATGACAAACACATAAGATATGCTCAAAATGCATCCTAAATTGTGACTCAACATCATCCTTCAATCTCTTTTCATTCAGCTGAACCTCATCTGCTTTGAGCATCATGTGCTACTATAGTCTACTGTTGTCATGTTTTGCAAATAAAAAACTGTCAAGTTGTTTCCTAGATACAGGGATTTACAGGACGCGGATTCCTGCGTCATACACGCATAATAATGGACAATGGACGCAACAAAATTTATTAGCGTGTCCACAGGGACTCAGACAAAGTCCAAATACTTTTTGTAAAAATTCCATTCAAGTGACAATAAGTTATCACTGAGTTTGCTACTAGCTGGGTTATGGTATTATTTGCAATTTAATTACTGTAATAATGTGACGATCATGATACAAAATACAATAACAGTACTAATAATAATATTGAAGTGTCTGGGACACACATTTTGTTGTCCAGGAACCCTGATAATTAAGAGTATGAGTCCAAGGGACACTCAAATGCAGGAGTCCATGTAAATCCCTGTAGATACAAAGCAAACTATCAATGGCCACTCATTGCCTTGTTAAAAACAAAAGATACCTTATACAACATATTGATGTCATTATGATTGAAATGAGATCACACTCAGGACTGCTATGAGTGGTGTGTACATTTGAGGGCCACAATATACTAACAATCCTAAATGATTTCACCACCCCTGTCAGAAATTTGTAACTTATGAGTATAACTGCAAATTAGACAAAAGTGTGTTAATAGTGTATACAAAATCATCCAAATTGAACATTGTTGTTCATCCTTTGAATTAGCAAATTCTGAGTGAATGGAGCTTGTCCATGAATAAGCTGGGCATCCTCCCAGCATAACACTGGCTTTATGTGTATGACAAATATTGTCTATTGAGAATGCTGTTAGTATTTACTGAAAATTAATGTGAGTAATGAAAACAATCTTGGGTAAAACAAATTTCATGGAAAATTCTCTTTCTGGTAATTCAGACACTTTCAGAATAACTCCACAACCATAAGATAAGACAACATTTTCAGCTATGTCCAGTCATGATTTGAAGTCACAGTGACTATCAAGATATTGCATATGGTAGAATACACTACACGTTCTATAAATCTCAACTTGATGTGGAGTACTAATGTGAGATGTTGCTCAGACAATAAGAAGGCCAACTGAACATAAAACACAAACAAACTGCCCTGGACATAAGGCATTGAGCCATGTAAATGCAATACAATCACATTCAAGAGCAGCTTGATATCAACATTATAAAATATAAAATTCATAACAATAATGAACAGTTTCCTTTCTCCCATATGCAAAACAGTGACATTTTGAGTTTGTTTGTCTATTCATGGAGCCTGCACTTATTTACAATTGTTGGTATGTACATAAGAAGCAGATATAGAAGTAAGTAATTTCATTATGACAAGTATCTCTACTATTTAATTCACCTGTTATCACTAATAGTGTCAAACAACTCCGAAGATCAAAGCTTAACACAAAGCAAAATGTTCTCCACTGAATCACAGTAACTTACTTCCATGAGACAAAGTATTTAACTAATGTAACCAAAGACTCTTCAGAATATTGAATGAGGTTCTTCATATGGTCCTACTACCATGATTATACTGAATGATACGTTTGGACACACTGAACATGCCTAATTTCCAGCCACACCAATCTCTACCTGGAGTGTTGAAGAGTATGTGGAGTAAACATGGGGAAGGAAGGAATGTGGCAAGTGTTTCATTTACCAGTACTGTGATTATTAATCTACAAAGTACATTCTTAAACTTACATTCAAAAGTGTTATTTTCATAAATAAGTTGTTATTCTTCTCCTTTGACTAGTGTCAACATTATGAGTAATTATGGCTAAGGAAAGCATGTCATATACTCTGCCAGCTGTGAACATCTAAGAATAGTGTTTCATCATGTAGCTACAGTAACAGAGTACATTGGATATATTTCACACTCGGTCCAGTAAAGGTACAATCAGCTGCCTTTAAATGACAATATTATGAGATATGATGAGTCCACACTGACCATGGCTTGGCAGGTCATAGAGGTACCAACTGTCCCTTACATCATGTGCAGCAGCAGCAGCAGCACCCTCCAGCTGGCCTGCAGAACCACCAATGTGGCTGGCCAAAACTGTATTCTGTAACATCCCAGCTGCTTGACATGTGCCTGATTTCTGTGTTGTGGTCAGTTGACACTACTGGGCAGTTGCTGTCTCAATTGCTCTCTGAGTCTCTCCCTAAGACTATGTTATATACAGTAGGCATTTTATGTGTCAGCTGGGGGGAGTCATTACCCCTCAGTATCTCCAGTAATACTTGTAAAGTAGGTAGCTCCCTAGCAGCAAGCCCAGGCCTAAACATATTGGCTGTAGGTAGCTCTTGCGTTTCTTCCAAGCTTCACTATTTTTCTGCCGTTCTTTCATATCCTTGATCTTCTCTTGAGTATGTTTCTTTCTTTCTTCACGTATTCTCTTCCTCACTTCATATGCACTGCAAACAAAACACATGGTTCTTAAGCACATGTTGTACAGAAGCATCAAAAGACCACTTCGACTGAAAATAGTGTGCAGGGCTGTACAAAATATATATATTAAAAATAATAATCATCATCTGTAAACCATAATAATATACTACACACAACAGAGCAAACAGCAGAGTCTGCTGTCACAGGCATTGATGAAAAAGTAGGAAAATGCATACTATTGTAAGCCACCATGGAACTGTTTGGATGACAACAACCTTTCCCTGAATGTCCCCAACTACAGACAGTTAACATATCATCATGCCTCAAGCATCACAGCCACTTACATCATTTCAGAAATAGCAATTCTGTAATATGATCATTATCAATGATTTTAAATTCTTTTGTGTGTGTGTGTGTGTGTGTGTGTGTGTGTGTGTGTTGAGATATACATAAATCAAGCGTTCTGTTCCAAGTAAAATCAATAGGTTTTAAAAAAATAAATATATATATATATGCTGAATTCTAGCTTTATTTCAGTTATTATTAAAGGTTACTGGTATCCAGAAAGTAAGTACACTTGCAGGTCACTTTCAGTCACTAAAATGTGACATTACTTCTTACTGTTTACCATATCCCTATTGTAAGGGATATCCCAACACAAGCTGAATTCGACGTTCTGGTGTTTTCGACGATTGCGTTGCTAACGCTATATCGGGGGAGTCATGCGCGATTGGTGAGCAAAAGCAATTTCATCGGCAGGGTGGATGCCCAGTCACTGCCGTGAGAAGTTGTATTGACAATTGAAAACCGGAAGTTAAGTTGTTTAAAAAGCAAACAAGCACCAATATTATTTACCCGAGATCGTTAATGACACTTCAGATGCAAAATCAATTGCCTTCATAACAAAAAATAGCAGGCGAAAATTCAGTGAGATCATTCGTCTGCTGGTGACAGACAATATTTAAATAGAAAGCCACGTTATCACAACACTCCCTCGCAGTGCGGAGCGAAAAGTATGGCTCATCGTCGAAAACCCATACAAAATCCACGGATGTGGCGAACGGCAACAGTTTCGCCGACACGATGTCATCAACCTTATTTTTGTAGGAAACACTTGATATTTTTGTGTGAAATAGATGAATATATCCTTTATCACCCAAGGTTAGTAAAATTAAAACTTCAAATGATATTACAGATAAAAATTACGTTTTTGTCTTATATCGTCGAAAACCCCTGATACCGGGATATAACAACTCTGATTGTAATGATCATCCATGTGTTGATAGAATAAGAGTTTGGTTGACACATTTGAAATGGGTGATCAATATCGAATAATGTTACAGAAGAAGAAAAACTGTAGTGACATGAATGGTTAATTTTGGTAAATTGCAATCCAAACAGCATTTTATAAAATACAAAAATATAAATCAACTGAATGAGGAAAAGGTGGTAATAATGTGCTGAAACTTCCTTCATATGTACCACATATAAATACAGACTCCACCTAAGTTTCCCAAGAAAGGAGTCTTCAACTCAATTTTGTCCCATTTATAAATAAAATTACACTGACTCAAGCCTTTCACCCTGGTCATCAACGTCAACTTCATTTTGAGGCTGTGGGAATCTGTGTTGGGAATTGCTGGCAGCCATCTTGATATATAAGGGGAGGTAATAAACAAAGGGGGACAATTTTTCACCATGCCATTGACCTCTTGAATTCTTGTTGGCAACAACTGGCATTTGTACATGAGCTATAAACACAACCCGTTTCACATAATTTCGGAGAAGTAGTTAGTGACTACACCAATTTTACTCCAATAATATTTCTGTATAGTGCAAGCTTGCAAGCTTAATGTGGGAGGAAAATGTCCATAGTGACTTGGGTCAGAGATGTTTCCAACATTGCTTAAACCAGGGGAACTAGTGTGGTTTTGGATAGTTACAACGTGTGAACTGGCTGATTGTGTAGATTGTTACACACAGTATATGGCCATAAGTGTCATCAAAATGGCTGCCGACGTTACATTTAAAAAACATATGTTTATTACATTGTGTTTTTACAGGTAAGTGAAGCAACGACATCAGATTAAATTTTTCACATATATTTTGGAGCATGTAAGGGGAAAAAATGTGTATACTCTTCCTAATTGAGGAAGAAATAACATACACTGTATTTCCTGTCGTCTGCTAGCCATGGCTGCAAAAAGTAAACAACTGACCCCTGACCAGAAAAATACCATTATAAATCTTCATTCAGATGGTAAATGTCAAAGATACATTGATGACGTACTTTGAATATCCCAGTCAGATGTCAGTAAATTTCTCAAACGTTTCCTTGATCGGGATGATATAGAAAACAGACCCCGAAAAGGCCGTACACCGTTGCACAACGTCCGTGCAGATCATACAAATATTCGTAGTGTGAGGGCTAATAGAAGGCTTCCTTACAGTTTTAATTGATAGATCACTCCCTCAAAAATTGTTGGGAGAAGATTACGTTCCCATGGGTTTACAAAAAGGAAAATTCAGAAGACCCTCACCGTCAGTCCCATCAACAGAGAAAAGCATGTGGTGTGGTGTAAACAGAAACTCAGTTGGAATGTTGATGAAATGTGATATTTGGTGATGAAACTCAGGTGGTTATTGAAGAAGTGTGTCAGTGTTTGGTGTAAACCTAACAAAATTTGGAGACCGAGTGTTTGGGTCAGCGAGGCGGCCGTAAAATATCAGTGTTTTGGGAGTGTGTAACGTTTAGTGGAGTGGGTGTTTTGATGCCTGTTGATGGCACAATAGACTCTACTAAGTACATTAATGCACTTGATGGCAACCTTTGGCCTGCTATTGCCAAAAATCTATTCCCAACAGATTACACCATGTCATTACAGCCAAGGGTCATATAACAAAATACTAAAAGATTCCAGGTCAATCAACATACGTAAATCAGTTTATTCGTCAAAAGTCAAAAACCTTTTCATACGTCCCCGTTGGTCATAATGCCGGCAGCCATTTTGATGACTCACTTATATTGCAGACTATGACAGCAAACAACATTACAAATGAAGTAATGTAATTTTCTGAGTAAAATTGATATTTTATACTTATCCTGACTCATGTATTATTGCTTGTCTCCTTCCTTCCCGAACATTAGTGGAACACTTGTATCTCTTTTTGAAGCTCCCTTCAATAAAGCAGACGAAAATCACTACTCACCACGAGTTGTCTCCCTCTCGGTTTTGGCGGAAAACGGCGCCAATCTGCCTTCCCACGCTCACTCTCTCTCCGAATTGCAAGCCCGACACTTAGATTTGCTGGGAAATCCAAAGTGCCTAGCGGGGAGGTTGGGAGGGCTTAGCTCATGAGTCAGGATAAGTATAAAATATCAATTTTACTCAGAAAATTACATATTTTTCCTTATCCTGACTCATGTATTATTGCTTGTAGAATCCTACAGATTTGGTGGTGGGTCAAGCCACTTCTGGATTCCAATTTGGTGATTTACGTCTTGCATACCCCCCTATGGGAACTTCCTGGTAGCACTTCAATTTACTGCTAGGCTCTGCTGCTGCTGTAACCCTTGCTTCCAGCTTTCTCTGATGGGGACCACAATTGTTAACTTTGGTCCTTGCTTCTGTTAACATTATATGTGGATTTTAACAACTCCATCTCTTGATGCATGCATCAAGTGGAGAAGCGACCCTTTTATGTAATGAAAGTACGCCCTTACAAGTACTGGGTCTTATCACTTATGCTAGTCTGTCTTAGACGTGCATATGGACTCTAAAGCTGTAACTCTCCTGAGTGTTGGCTTTTGCAAGTCATGTGATAAAAGGGCGAGACTGACTGTCTCAGCGCCTCTGTGGAACTGTCAATTGTTGTGCTACAACAAGTGGGCGAAATGGTGAATGCCAGAGACGCCCTCAGTGGCGATGTCTCTCAGGTAGTGGTTGGCAAACACCATGTCCTGATTTCCAGAAGCAGCCCTCCATTATCGTCATGATAGAGCAGTTTCCATGTAGAGCGAAAGTGTTGACGCCAGAGCTCTAATTTCATGTGGATTGAGGCTCTTGGAGGATCAAGTCCTGCTGCTTTGTAGGCCCGTGAGAATGACAGTTCTCATCCATATTGATATCGTGAGTGCGAGAGATCTCCGTCTGTGTCTCTGTCGATATAGGGATGAAAAGACGCTTTGAATTTTCGCCTCCTGGTCCTAGACCTTTGTAGGTAGACTTTCAATGCTCTTACTGGGCATAAGGATAGGTCCTGTGTATCCTGTGGCCCAAGGACTGATGATAGTGCTGGGATGTGGAATTGTCTGTCCGGGTTGACCTGGCAGTTGATTCTTTGCTATAAAGTCCCATCTCAGTCCCATATGCACGATGTTTCGATTTTCATCAAATCGCGGTCCTTTCAAAGTCTAGAGCATGTATTTCCCGACATCCTTGCTGCTGTTGCTAAGGCAATCAGGAATAGAGTTTTCTGTGCCAAGAACTCAAAAGATGTCCTATCTAATGGTTCATAAGCCGCCACTGGTGAGATGTCAGAGAACTATGTTGAGGTCCCACGCCGGAGCTTTAAATCTCTGTTGTTGGTCCTCCAGTTTAAAAGAGCATAGTAAGGCCAGTAACTCTGGTACCTTAGTCAGTTTTACACTCCCCTCATAGTGATAACTGAGCTCAATGCCGCTAGGTATGTTGAGAGTGTTGACCCTTTTAACCGCTTCGTTTGTCTTAGGTGACAAAGATAGTCCGCCACTTGAGGGTGTGTCGCTTTATGGCTGTGAAGCCTGTTTTCAAAGCGTAGGTCTCAAAGCTTCGCCATTTGTCGCCGCACAAGTTGCGTGTTGACTTGGCGTAAAGCTAGCGTGACCGCTTTAGCTGCTCTGGCGGAATATCCTCTCTTATTCAAGCACGCCTTTGATACGGTCCACGCTGTAGTAGCCGAACACCTGTGGGTTGCCGTGGTGCTTGCTTTGTGTGTGGATGTACTAGCAAGTTCGGCCCACTCTGGTAGTTGCAGTTGAGGCGGT